CAGTGCTGTCCGACTGTCACCGTACACCCCCACGGAAAACCAGTCAACATGAGTGGGGGCACAGTGCTGTCCGACTGTAACTGTACACCCCCACGGAAAACCAGCATCTTGGGGCAACAGAAGCAATGAGCCAAAGACCCTCTTCTGTACTGAGTGAATCGATTTAGAAATGTTTTGTTTTTGCATTTTATCATTTGAATGTTCAACTGACTGTGCCCACTGCTAAGGAGTAATATTCACGTTTGGGGTTACTAAGTGCCAATTGGTTTAATGTGTTGTTACCCGGCCCTGGGTATAAACATGCAACAGCTCACAACCTGACCCACATCAGAAAATACACCAGCTTCCGAGCAACATACACAGTGCTGAGCTCAACCACTGCAAACTGTCGGAGTAGGTGGTAACATCCAGGCATTAATCTGGTCGAATTAAAACCAAAAGAACTGCGGATGCTGTAAATCAGGATCAAAAACAGAAGTTGCTGTAAAGCTCAGCAGGTCTGGCAGCATTTGTGAAGAAAAAAAAATCAGAGTTAACATTTCCAGTCAGTTCCTCAGGTTGCCTTGATGACATCAGAACATCCAAAAGCAGCTCACATTCGATCAATGGCTTCTGACACACAATCACTGTCACAATGTAGAAACGTCACAGCAAATGCGCGCACAGCAAGATCCCAGAACTAGACTACCTGTTTACAATGCGCTGCTTGATGGTAAAATACTGGGCCAGTGCGAGAGCTTGTACACCTTCTCAACTGCTTGGTTTAATCATTTCAACTGAAAGTCAGCGCCTCTGACACTGCAGTACTTCCTCACTACCACACTGCAAAGTCAGCCTGGATCATCTGTTCATGCCTCTCTGTGGGAACTCACCTCAATCTGAATTCAAGGCATCAGTGTTCCCCATGGAGCCACCCTTAGAGAGTGAGTGCAAGGGAAGAAAAAGATGAAACAGAGTAATTAAGAGATCTGAGTTGAATTGGGGAGACCTACCCAGAACCCTATACGTGCTGAGCAGGATTCACGAGACTGATTCCAGAAATGAGACGCTTGTCTGCATATTCTCTGGAGTTTAGGAGAATGAGAGGAGATCCTATTGGGATACTAAAGGAGCTAGGCAAAGTAGAGAGGATGTTGCTTCATGTGGGCCAACCTAGAAGAACAGGTCACAGTTTTAGGGTAAGGAGTGGCAGATTTAAAATCGAGATGAGGAGAAATTACTTCTCTCAAAGAGTGGGGAATTTGTGGGATTCACTCCCCCAGCGTGAGGTGGTTGCTGGGACATTGAGTAAATTTACAGAGGAGGTAAATTTAAAATTAGTAACAGGTTAAAAAGTTGTGGATTGAGCAAGCAGGGAAGTGAAGTTGGGGCCAAGATGAGATCAGCCATGATTGTATTCAATGGTGGAGCAGGCTCGAGGGGCTGAATGGCCTACTCTTGCTCCTAGCTCTTATGTTCTTATGACAATGATGAAGATGGGATTGGGCTCTGTTGGAACTCCCCTTCTCCATTGTCTTATAAACAGCTGAAGCAGCAAAAACCGAACCATATATAAATTCGAACCAGCACAAGACAACAGTGCTTCACAGGAGGCTCCACAGCACTGAGATGGTCACCTAGTAAAGGGGACGAAACATCTGCTATCAAACCTCCCAGCTCGGCAAACACACCAACATCTACAACCAGCTGATCCTCAATATTAGACTCAGCTGTGGAGGTGGGTTGTTAGAATGTGGTCTAATGGAAGAGTTTAAAACCAGTGTCTTCAGGGTGGGGAAGTAGAAACCACAGGAAGCAAAAGAATGTGTAATGTGTACTGAAGGTATGCTCTATCACAACTTTAATTTTTTTGAAATCTAATTCAAATTTGGACAGGTGATTAAGATGGCTGCCATGCCTCAGGTGAGGCCTTCAAATTCAACACAAGCTTCTGGAAAGTTCCTACTGCATTAGCCTGGGTGAGGACAGCCACGAAACTCCTCTGTGGAGTTGACATCTCTCATGGTTTGTGGTTTACCAAAAGAATCTATAGATTTTAACACCTTGTGTCTCCAAACGTGCAGCTTGCTGCAAGAGACTATGAAAGAACCAGATGAATCACAAATAAGTGTGAAGGAACTCAAACCAACATGTATCAATCAATACAGCGTCAGATCATCCCAGATGAATGATAAAGGTATTGATCAGGTTGGTGACCTGACAAAAACTATCTTCTGGTGCCAAATATTACATCTTTCCAAGGACTAGGAAGAGACAGTCAGCAACACAAGGTCAGCTGCGAGAAGCAGCAAAACAAGGCCTTCTCTACAAGATGCAGCAGCTTCCAGGTTTAATTTAACTCAATGCCATCAGGTAAACTGATATCCTGGTGTGAACACCACAAGTGCCTAGCTTCACAGCCTGCCAAACATCCACCTCTTAAGGGGAACTCTGCAACAACTGGGACATGATTCTGGTGAGCTGAGTCTATCCAGATTAACCCTTCAGGAATAAAACACTAAGTTTTCAACAAGCCCACTAGCACCTGTTTCTTACAACGTTGTGTGTAATTGGTAGGTGCGCTATTCTCTTGAATGATATCTCTCTCTCCTCTCGCGCACGCCTGTGTGTGTGCATGTGCGTGTGCATGTGCACGTGTTTGAGAGAGAGAGAGACACACGCACACAGTGTTCAGACTGATCAGAGTGAATATAAAAATAATCCTATTTACTGAAACCCCCAATTGCCTGCTGTTATTTAAATTGGCTGCAAACACTTATAGAGCTAAGAAACATATACACTTCATTTTTTCAAAACACAACAACTGATCTTGAGGAAGGACATAAACGTTTCAATTCTCTCCCATTCTGTTTCCAGCAATAATACAAAGGAGGCAGTGCATTCAGTTTAGTGTAGCGTGCAGAATAACATAATCCTTTAATAGTACAAACTGGAACCATCTGGTAAACACCGGGTAACAACGACCAACCCTGAGAATACAATCTATTACATCAAAAATCTTCCACAGTGCACGGTGAATCTCAGCTTCCAATAGAGTCGCAGGGTCATGTATAAGAGATTGTTCTGCATCATGGACTCTCCCCTAAAGCAGCCTCAGATCGATGTCTTACACAGTGAGAGTGTGCAGTCAGATCTACTATCGAAACCCTGCTGCCTTTCACACAAGCTTTTACCTCAGGATGACAAGGGCAATCTTTACCCTCCACTCCCCCTCTAGCTAATGGCAGCAGCCTTGACCTCAGCTTCAGCCTGCACAGGCCCTGGGAGTGAGCCCACCACAGAAGCGACAATCTCCAGTGAAGTAGAGGAACCAAACTTTCATTGTCTCTGTGAGCTACATCAATCACACAGACTCCAGTCTAAGGCTCAGGCTGCACTGTCCTACCCCCATCCTACAATGAGGAGGAGCCCTCTTGCAAAGGGTTTCTACAGCAGTTCGTACCAGGCACCAGTTCAGATGGGAGCAATCTGTCTACTTGGCTTGAGTCACTTAGTGCAGCCTTGGCAAGATGGATTGATTAACGGGACAGCCATGTGTTCAAATTTCTCAGCAAAAACATTTGCAGCTGAATGTGTCTGAATGGTGGGAGAGCAGCATTTCATTCTTCCTTTTCTGTATTTCAATAAGTTGCAGGTCTCCTGTTGAGCCTGTGGGATATTGCAAGGGAACACAGAGACTGGTTTCTCAGAAAATGCATCATAACCAAGCAGGGTGGGGTGAAAGGCACGTCAAAGTCTTACTGAGAATCGAGCGAGAGGCAAGTTGCTTGTACCAATGAGGGACATGTCCAGCTTTTGTGCTGTCAGCAAAAATGGTTCTTCCACCATTTCCCAAAGTAGTGCAGCCTGCATGGGAGAGACCTCGAGCCGCAGTGGCCCACTCACATCAACGTGGCCCATGAGGGAGGCCTAACCGAGCAATCTCTCAGTTCCATGAGTTCCTCAGTGTGGCCTGGTAAGGATTGAATAGAGTTCGAGGCCTGTCAGTTCAGCGAGTTATACAGTGGAGCTGGAGAGACAGGCACAGGGGCACAGCCTGTCGATGAGTTACTCAGTGTGGCCCAGTGAGAGGGGCCTAGGGGGTAGGCCTGTCAGTTCAGGGTGTTTGTCAGTGGGGCCTAGTAAGGATTCGGTAAAGTTTGATGCCTGTCAGTTCTCCTCATTGTTTTGACACCAATAGCAGTTTCTAGTAAAGGACGAATGGGCCAGGGGCTGGAATGCTCGTGTTAGTCATTATCCACCATTTAAAGCCAGCGACAACATGATGGTGATAGTTTCAGTCAAAATCTAGCTATAATCCTATGGCTGCACTATGGGTACAACTGAAGTCAAAATGCCTGCAGACTTAGCAGAAGAGGACCCCAAAACCCAAAGCATTTGCAGATTCAGTTTCATCTAATATTCCTCAGATAAAGGATCTTTAAAATTATCAGAGTCTGTTGTGCATAGAAGCAATAATAGTTAAAGAAGCCAGTGCCAGCAGAGTGCAGTGGCACTAACCAAACCACAAAGTAAACACGATATTGACCCTTTGGTGAAGGCGCTTCCTGGAAAGCGAGCTGGATTCCCATGCTGCAGGGCTGCTCAGGACTTCACTTGTAACAAATAGCGAAGACGAGCCTGGCTCTCCTTGTAGATGACATACTCGCTTTGGCTAAAGTGGCTTTGCAGATTCATATTCACCGGTTTCCCCTGAGGTACCATCACTTTCTTCCCTTCAAAAATGAACTCCTTGTCCTGAGAACAATCTGCAGAGAGAAAGACAGAAAGAAAATAAACAGCTGGAGATTTCTTCTTCACTTTTCCACTACTCGACCCTCAGCCCAATGCCTCTCCCTTATGAAAAGTTGACTAAAGCACTGGACAGTAGAATATTTCAGAGTTGGTAGGAACTGCAGATGCTGGAGAATCTGAGATAACAAGGTGTAGAGCTGGATGAACACAGCAGGCCAAGCAGCAATTTTTCTGAAGAAGGGTCTAGGCCCGAAACGTCAGCCTTCCTGCTCCTCTGATGCTGCTTGGCCTCCTGCTGTGTTCATCCAGCTTTACACCTTGTTATGACAGTAGAATATTACTGAATATCATTTGTACGGACTTCCAGAAGGCATTTGATAAAGTCCCTCATACAAGACTGTTAGTTAAAGCTGATGCATCAAATGGTTACAGGAAAGCAGGAGGCCATTCAGCCCTCAAATTGTGCCCTCTGATTCTTGATCTTTCCACCGAATGGGAACAGCTTAACGATACCCACTCACAATCTTGAGGACCTCAATCGGAATCTCCTTTCAACCTTCACTGCTCCAAAGAAAGCAGACCCACCTTCTCCAATCTATCCACCAAACTCAACCCTGGAACCATTCTCTTGCATCCTTTCCAATGTCTCGATGTCCCTCTTAAAATAGTGCCCAGGCTGGATACAAAGCAATCAAGGCTGAACCAGTGCTTTGTACGGGATAAACATCATCTCCTTATTTTCATATGTAATGCAGCTGCTCGGAAATTCCGGGACATTGGATTGAATTCATTAACTGCCCCCTGAGCCTATTCTGCCACCTTCACTGATTTTATACCCATGCCTGCCCAGGTCTGTCTGCTCACTCACCCTCCTGGACCATTCTACCTTCCATTTCACTTTGTTTCTCCCAAGTGCTTTGCACCAAAATGAACCACTTCACACTTCTCGGAATTAAATGTCATCTGTCACGTGTTTGTCTTTTGCACCAACCATTGTAACATTTTTCCTGATGTTTTACATCGTCCCCCTCACCGATTGCGAGGTTTCACGTGGCCTGCAAATTTCAAAATTGTGCCCCATCATGGAAATTGCGCACTTCCATCTCACAGATATCATGGAATCCCTACAGTGTTTAAGGAGGCCATATGGCCCATCGAGTCCACACTGACCCTCCAAAGAGCATTCCACACAGACCCACCCCACTACCCTATACCTGTAACCCTGCATTTCCCATGGCCAATCCACTGACCCTGCACATCCCTGAACACTCTGGGCAATTTAGCATGGCCAGTCCACCTAAACTGCACATCTTTGGACTGTGGGAGGAAACCGGAGCACCCGGAGGAGACCCACGCAGACACGGGGAGAATGTGCAAACCCCACTCAGACGGTCGCCTGAGGGTGGAATCGAACCTGGGTCCCTGGTGCTGTGAGGCAGTAGCGCTAACCACTGAGCCACTGTGCTGCCCCGACTCCACTGCTGCTTCCATCCATCTTCAGCGACGTCCTCAGCCTTGCTTTTCACATCTCGACATCTACCTTTTCCAGTCTCCTTCTGGCCCATCTCCCCCATGCTAGCCTCTTTAAACTCAACGTCACCCAAAAACTTCGACGCCAGCCTGTTTGCCTGTGCTCTCCGGCCCTGCATTGGGCTTGGGCTTAAGCAAAGCCTCATGTTTAAAATCTCATCCCTTCGCTTTCAAAGCTCTGAGACCTCTCCACCTCCCAAGTCCATCAGCTCTGCTTCCCTCCTTTCGGAGAGAGCTGAACTGCTCGGATTCGAACGTCTTAAGGATTTGAATTGCTGTTCTGTTCAGCTGCTGTGACCCTAGACTGTGGAATGTTTCACAAAAAGCTCTCCACTTTGTATTCCTCCCTTGAAGACCCTCCTTAAAAAGCTACCTCCCTGAACAGGTTGTCTGAATATGTTTGACAATGCTTCTGGTGACCTGCCTTGTGTCATTTGACTTCAAAAGACACTATACGAATGCAAGTTATTGATATTAATCTGGAAGTAGCTATAATACAGCAACGGGAGGTGGATAAAATCTGCTGGGACCTCTTTATCTGGTAATCAATGACCTCAGCTGGATATTACTAGCATTAGCAGAAATACTGTGCTCTTCCTCTGGACAGGAACACTTAATTAAATATAAAACACTGAGACACAGAGACACAGGAGGTCCCAGGCACAATACAACTCAGCTGGGCCTGGGAGCCTTGAATTAGGGCAGAGGCTGGAGGATGGATCGTCGGCCTTACCTCTGTCTCCCAGTCACCGAGAACCAGGGGTAGGGGGGCGCTGGATCCAGTCAACGGCCACTGCACTGTCTACCCAAAACTGACCAATGGGAAAAGGATCCAGAGGCCAATGCTGCTGAGATGGTGACTGAAGAAAAGCGTTGCTGGGAGAAAGGGGAGAAACAGGCGCAGTGATGTGTGTGGGGGGTGGGGGCAATGCAACGGGAAGGAAATGGAGGGGTGGGGAGTGGACCTACCTGGTTCTGTGTTGCCACGGGCCACTACACTGTCGAAGCCTTTGGGAGCTGACTTCAGTCGGCTGTTGTCATGGAAGATGGAATGCTCTTTCCCCAGAGCCACTTCTGACAGGAACATGATGCCAACGCCTTTGGATGTAAAACCAACTGCAAGACAGACAAGAATGATCTCAGCGCAACGTCAGCTGTGGGTCAGTGCTGGCCATCTGTGAGACTAAATGATGAATGATTAGGGCATTTCTTGTTTTAAAACTGATGGTGGATTGAAACCAGCAAGCTTCTGACTGAGGGGCAGGAGTGGCCCCCCGAGCCAGACCCAGATTCCTGAAGCTACCACCAGCCAACAGCCCACGAGAGAAAGTCAATATCCCCCTGAACTGATTTTCTCCCCGGGCTGAGCAGGAATCCAAGTCAAATCCAACATTTGCTTCCGCATCAGCACCTCCAGAAGGGGTGCCAGCCAAGGTGACCATGTTCCCGATCAGTCACAAAGGTCACCTGCTGGAAGCTGCATTTGTCGAGATTAAACAGAGACCAGGTCAACTCACACAGCCAAATATCCCGCTGACCTCTATATTTGGAGAAGCTGCTCCCTTCGTAATCAAATCATGGAAGCACTCAGCACGGGGAACAGGGAATCCAGCCCACAGTGTCTGTGATAAAGCTATCCAGTCAGTCTTACACTCCATCTTTTCCCCCAAAACACTAAAAACTTTCATCTTGCCACATCACCCCTTCAAGGTCAATGTATACTTTTCTCCTTTTTCATTTAATCGCCATTTCCCGAGTCTGAACTCCTCTATTAAACCCATCCTTCAGCTTTCTCTGCTCAAAATGGAACAACCCCAGATTCTCCTGTCTCTACATGACAGAAATCTCTCTACATCAGTACTACTCTGGTGAATCTGCTCTGTACCCTATCCATGCCCTCGCCCTTATTTATAACATGTGGTGCCAGCTAAGCACCAACCAGTGTTTTATAAAAGTTTAAATATAACTTTTTCTCACTTCTGTATTCATGAATAAAATCAAGCAGGTGGTTTGCCCTTTAAACAACCTTTTTCAACTTATCCAGCAGCGTTTAGCTAAAGGGTCGACAGGTGTGAGGCTGGAAAAGCACAGCAGGTCAGACAGCATCCCAGGAACAGGAAAGTCAGTGTTTCAGGCCAAAACCCTTCATTGGGACTAGGCTGTCTCTCTCTCTCTTTCTAGTTAAGGGGTGACAGTAGGTGACTTCTTGCAGTTTTATAATGATGGTTTTTCAGAAAAATTAACACAGAAACATAGAACATAGGAGCAGCAGGAGGCTATTCGGCCTTTCGAACCTGCTCCGCCATTCTTCACAATCATGGATGATCGTCCAACTCAACAGCCTAATCCTGCTTTCTCCCCATAACCTTTGATCCCATTCGTTCCAAGTGCTATATCTAGCCGTCTCTTGAAAACATTCAATGTTTTAGCATCAACTACTTCCTGTGGTAATGCATTCCACAGGCTCACCACTCTTTAGGTGAAGAAATGTCTCCTCATCTCTGTCCTAAATGGTCTACCCCGAATCCTCAGACTGTGACCCCTGGCTCTGGACACCCACAATCAGGAACATCCTCCCTACATCTACCCTGTCCAGCCCTGTTAGAATTTTAGAAGTCTCTATGAGATCCCCCCTCATTTATCTGAACTCTAGCAAAAATAATCCTAGCCTACTCAATCTCTCCTCATACGTCAGATCCCTCATCCCCGGAATCAGCCTGGTAAACCTTCGCTGCACTCCCTCGAGAGGAAGAGCATCCTTCCTCAGAAAAACAGACCAAAACTACACACAATATTCCAGGTGTGGTCTCACTAAGGCCCTGTACAACTCTCTACAACCCTGTAAGCCTCTCTTGTGAGCAAAGCCTCACAAAGAGTATGCTTCCTACTTATACAAAGGTGGACATTCCCTTTGAGGTACAGATTCCTTGGAAAATATTAAGTTAACTTCTGCAGGTACCACTTTAAATTGAAAATCCTGGTTATTGAAGTCGTTAACAATTCCGAAATCCTCGATCAGTTTTGACCGGCTCTAGCACAGTGTCCATGCCTTTACCATGGGTTAGGACTGAAGTGAAACAAGCTGCTAGCTGTTACAAACAAGAGAAATCGCTGGAGAAACTCAGCGGGTCTGGCAGCATCTGGTGGGAAGAACGCAAAGTTAACATTTTGAACCTGGTAACTTTTCTTCAGAACCGATAGCAGTTAGGAAAATGTCGTATTTATGCTGAAGGTGAGGTTGGGAGTGGTGGGTGTGTTGGGTGTGCAGAGGTGAGTGGATAGGTGGAGATGGAGCCCAAAGTAAGAGAGATATGAAATGGGTAAGCAGATGAGGGAACTATTAATGAGGCCAGGACAGAAGAGAAGCTGAATTAGTGATAATGAGAGCTGAGAGTAGGAGAGAATGGGTGGGCTGTCCTGGAAGCAACCCATGTCATAACAGGATAAGGGTGTGGGGGTGGGTAATAAAAACATGGAAGGATGGAATCAGGCTCTAAAGTTATTGAACTCAATCTGGAGTCCTACAGGCTGTAGGTTCCCGAGCAGAAAATGAGATGCTGTACTTTGAGCTTGCATTGAGGCTCACTGGAGCACTCCAACAAGCCTGAGACAGAAATGTTGGCCAGAGAACACTGTTGCGTGTTGAAGTGGCGGGGAACTGGAAGCACAGGGTTATTTCTATGGACAGAACGTAGATGTTCTCCAAAGCAGTCAAACAGTCTGTGTTTCATCTCCTCAGTGTATAGGAGACCACATTGTGAGCTGTGAATACAGTAGATTGAGTGAAGTGCCTGGAGAGTGTGTCTGGGGCCTTGGATGGTGAGGAGGGAGGAAGTAAACAGGCTGGTATTACACCTCCTGTGAGTGCATGGCAAGGTGCTGTGAGGGTGTGGGGAGGTGTTGGGAAAGGCGGAGAAGTGGACCAGGGTGTCCCAGAGGGAATAGTCCCTGAGGAAGTCTGACAAGGGACAGAAGGGGAATGTGTGCCTAGTGGTGGCATCCCACTGGAGGTGGCGGAACTGGTGGTTAATGATCCTCTGGACGTGGATGCTGGTGGGATGGTAGGTGAGGACAAAGGAGACCCTATTGCTGTTGTGGGAGGGAAGAGAAGAGGCGAGTGTGGGAGATGGGTCAGACCCGGGTGACCGTGATGCTGGTTGAGGAAGAAGGTGACATTTTGGAGGCCCCGTTCCAGAAGGTGGCATCTTCAGAACAAATCTGACAGAGCTGGAGAAACTGGGAGAACAGAATGGAATCCATACAGGAAGTGGGGAGTGAGGATGTTTAGTCAAGGTAACTGTGGGAATCGGTGGGTTTGCGCTGGATATCAGTGGCCAGCCTATCCTCAGAAATAGAAAAAGAGGTCAAAGAAGGGAAGGGAGGAGTCAGAGATGGACCAGATGAGGGCGGGAGTCAGGTGGAAATTGGAAGCAAAATTGATGAATTTCCAATTCTGATTGAGAGAGGGAGCAGCGCCGATGATGTAATTGATATACCGGAGAAAGATTTGTGGGTGGGAGCTGGAGTAGGACTGGAACAAGGAATGTCCCCTGCAGCCCACAAAGGGACAAGTAAAACTGGGGCCCATGTAGGTATCATGGCCAGCCCTCTGACCTGAAGAATGTGGGAGGAATTAAAGGCAAAGTTGTTCAGAGTCAGGACAAGCTCGGCCAGGAGGGGGGTGGTGGTTGTGGATGGGGACGGTTCAGGCCTTTTTCCTAAGAAGAAGCAGAGAGCCCTGAAACCATCTGATGGAGGATGAACTTATAAAGGGATTGCACATCCATGGTGCCTGGAGCCCAACAAACTGAAAATTTTGAAACCTACTATCACTATGGATGTTTCTTGGGAAGCTGGGCCAGGAGTGGCTTTCTCTGTAGCCCCGCAAGATGCTGCATCTGCTTGGTTAGAATAGTCAGCTCATCACCCATAGATAACACAGTGTGGAATTGGAGGAGCATACCAGGCCAGGCAGCATCAGAGGAGCAGGAAAGCTGACATTTCGGGTCGGTTCTTAGTATTTCTCAGCTCATCACCCAACCGCTTTCTCCAAAACAGCTCCTGACATGATTAAAATGCTGAATGTCCCACTATTGTTTGAAGCACCCACACAGAAATCAGACAAACAATACAGCGTTAGAATTAATGAATAGTTTAGAAATTTTCCTACACCCAACTTTGCGTAAATTATGCTCGATGCAACAGCAAGCCACATGTTAGAAGCATCATAATCAAAGATTTTGTAGTTCGACACAACAAAGTTCATTTTATACAATTTAAAATGGTAAAACACAAAAGTATACATTAAACAGTAAATATTATTTTCCCACTAGAATCCTGATGACTAAGAGCCTAGGTTATGTCAATGTTATTTTGCTTTCTTTCTCTGGTTTTAACTTAAGAGGACAGTTCAGATTGATAGGAAGGAGCATTATTTTTCAACCAGCACAGGATAGCCCTGGGCAAGGTGCCAGAAGACTGGAGGTTAGCTAAATGTAATGCCATTATTTAAGAAAGGTAGTTAGGAAAAATCAGGGAACTACAGACCAGTGAGACTGAAGTCAGTGGTGGATGGAAATCACGTCTCACTGACTTGACTGAGGTTTTTGAAGAAGTGACAAAGAAGACTGATGAAGGCAGAGCACTGGATGTTGTCTATGTGGACTTCAGCGAGGCATCTGACAAGGTTATGTAAGGCAGGCTGGTTAGCAAGGTTAGATCATGTGAAATACAGGGAGAACCAGCCATTTGGATACAAAATTTGGCTCAAAGGTAGGAGGACAGAAGGTGGTGGTGAAGGGTTACTTTTCAGACTAGAGTACTGTGACCAGTGGTGTGCCACAAGGATGCTGGGTCCACTGCTTCTTGTTGTTTATATGAATGATTTGGATGTGAATATAGGAGGTATGGTCAGTAAATTTGCAGATGACACAGAAATTTGTTGTGTAGTGGACAATGAAGGTAGTTACCTCAGAGTACAACAGGACCTTGATCAGATGGGCCAATGGGCTGAGGAGTGGCAGATGGAGTTTAATTTAGATAAATGTGAGGGGATGCACTTGGGAAAGGCAAATCAGGGCAGGACTTATACACTTAATGGTAGAATCCTGGAGTGTGGTGCCAAACAAAGAGACCTTGGAGTGCAAGTTCATAGCTCCTTGAAAGTAGGGTCACAGGTAGACAGGGTAGTGAAGAAGGCATATGGTACACTTGCCTTTATTGGTCAGTGCATTGAATATAGGAGTTGGGAGGTCATTGGTTAGGCCACATTTGGAATATTGCATTCAATTCTGGTCTATCCTGCTATAGGAAAGATGTTGTGAAACTTGAAAGGGTTCAGAAAGGATTTACAAGGATGTTGCCGGGGTTAGAGGGTTTGAGTTCAAGGGAGAGGCTGAATAGGTCTGGGGCTATTTTCCCTGGAGCGTTGGAGGGTGAGAGGTGACTTTATAAAGGTTTATAAAATCATGAGGGGCATGAATCAGGTGAATAGCCAAGGTCTATTCCCCAGGGTAGCTGAGTCCAAAACTAGAGGGCATAGGTTTAAGGTGAGAGGGGCAAGATTTAAGAGAGACCGAAGGGGTAGCATTTTCATGCAGAGGGTGGTATGTGTATGGAATGAGCTGCCAGAAGTAGTGGTGGAGGCTGGTACAGTTACAACATTTAAAAGGCCCCTGGATGGGTACGTGAATAGGAAGGGTTAGAGGGATATGGGCCAAATGCTGGCAAATGGGACTAAATTAATCGAAGGCCATCTGGTTGGCATGGATGAGTTGGACTGAAGGGTCTGTTTCCGTGCTGTACAGTTCTATAATTCTATGACAGAGGTGACCTCATCTCCCCAGGTCCTGGTGCTACTAGTAGGGCCTACATTTACAACTCCACAAGCTTTTATATTTGGTGCTAGGCGAAAGCATCAGCTCCTTGGTTTCTTGTGTATAACTTATGAAAGCCACTGTAGTGTTCCAGCTATCTAGCTCCATAAAGCCAGCCTGTGACTACAAACCAATGGACATAAGGCGGACAGTTTTTGCAATGGTTTAGGAGTAAAAGTAGGCTATTCAGCCCATCATCTCCACTCCACCATTCAATGAGATCAGGGTTGACCTAATAATCTTCAAACCTATTTTCCTGCCTATTCCCCACAACTCTTGATTCCTTTACTGATTAAGAAAAATCTATCTCAGCCTTGAATATACGCAACAACCCAGCCTCTACAGCAAACTCCGGAAAAATGTTTTCATAGATTCACTATCCCGTAGAGAAGAAATTCCCTTTCATTTCTGTCTTAAATGAGTGACCCCTTACTCTGAGATCATACCCTCTGGTCCTAGACTGTCCCATTTGGGGAAACAACCTCTCTGCATCTACCCTGGCAAGTCCCCTCAGAATCTTCTACATTTCAAAAAGGCCACCTCTCATTCTTGTATATTTCAAGGCATTAGGTCCAATATACTCAATCTCTTCTCATCAGACAGTCCCTCCATGCCTGGGATCAGCCTGGTGACCCTTCTCTGGACTGGCCCCCAAAGCTAGCTGAGGTCTAACTGGTGCCTTTTGCAGTTTCGACAAGACTTCCTTATTTTCATCCAAAGCAAACACAGAAATTGCTGGAGAAACTCAGCAAATCTGGTATCATATGTAGGGACAGAAACAGAATTAAACATTTTGAGTCTGTTATAACTCACCTTCAGAACTGAAAGGTGCTGGAAAATAAGTTATTTTTATATTTTTGACATAGCCTGAGAAAGAGGAAGACAGGCAGAGTATAGGGGCAATGCAAAAGATACAGGGTTTGTTAATGATGGAGAAAGATGATAAAGGATGCGAAATGGGTGTAACATTAAGGTGTAAAAGGTAAAGAGAACTGGTCCTCCTTAGTAAGTGCAAAGTAAACAAGACACAAACAAGACAAGGCTATGGTGGTGGGTGGGAGGCAATGTAAGAGAAATGGAGAACAGACATAAAGAGGTCTATTTCTGAAGTTATGGAATTCAATGTTGAGCCCCTCAGGAAAATGGAGTAATGTTCCTAGTACTTGTGTTGTGTTTTGTTGGAACCAGTAAGCCCAGGGCAGAAATGCTAGCATAAGAGCAAGATGGTTTTATTGAAATGCTCTCATTGATCTGGGAGGGAGGGGAAGGTGTGACGGCAGAGGTGCGAGAGAAAGTTTAGACGTAGCTGAGGGTCCTGTTAATCACAATGAGGGTGAGGTAAAATTGCAGTCATGTCAGTGGCACGGTCAGAACAGAAACCTTTCCGCGGGACTACAGACAGTCAGGTTGCTTCAATTACCATATCCTGCCGACTTGCTGTTTTCTGACGCAAAATAGATTCCACATCCAACGCGGCCCCCTGAGTGGGGCATGATGCGTAGGCCTGTTTTCAGAATGGCAGCAACAACCGCAATGTTAGTCCCATGCCACAGGAGGCGCCGGTTCTCAATGTTATTGTGGATCTTGAAACGTGTCCCCTAGAAACACACCAAGAGCCTGCATCAGTGCATGGCTGGCACTTCAGCCTGGTAACACCCACTCACCCATTCCTCCAGGATCACTCTTTTCATCACCTTTAGGCACTGTGTTCAGCAATAGATCACCATTACGCTATCTATTGTTAGCTTGACCATCAAACACCCCCCAGGACATGGACAGCACAGGGTTGGATACAAATAAAGCTTTCTCTACACCGTCCCCCATCACACACTCCAAGAACAGGGACAGCACGGAATTAGATACAGAGTAAAGCTTCCACTACACTGTCTGCGTTCCACGCTCCCACTATAAAACTGACTGCATTAGTTGCTGGAAGCTGCCAGACTGAGGAATTTTCAAGAAACTGAATTCCTGGTGTTAGTTCCTCTCCAGCTGAGGGGGAATCTGATTCTCCTGTTATACTCACAGTGATTGAGCCTGTGCTTTACTCAGAGTTTGAACTCAGTACTATTCCAGCAGCCTGGAGGGGGTATTCAACAAATGGCAAGAGACGTCTATGTTATGTATTGCACATTTGTGCACAGGCTAGTTGCTGCCAGTACAACCGATTTATTTACAAGAAATTTAAATGATCTTGGTAATTACAAACCAGCTACATTCGCGCTCACAGCTCAGCATCAGTGGTTTCCTTTTACTGTGCTTCATACCCAGGCATAACCATACAGGGAAGGGAGCGTTGATCAGTTCCCAGGCTCTCACACTCAAACTCAGAATAACTGAACATGACAATGAGGGTCAGCTCACTAACAGTCTAACAGGGCTACAGCTCCTTTTGTTTCTTAATCGTCTCCTCTCACACGTTCACCTTCAAACAGTTTCTCTCTACATACCATATCCTGTTCAACTTTTGTTGGATTGATTTGAATTCCTTCTGGAAGTTTGATGTGCCTTGTGTCTTTCTTTGCCTTCTGTCTTATTGGTTCCCAGATGTTGCCTTCGCCTCTGGTACCGGTCCAGTGAGGACGGTTTGGAGAGCCAACAGCAATGACCCTCGGCTACACTGCCCTCCATCGAGCTGTCTGGGCCTTCGCTTCACTCTCTGCCTGATGATAGCGTCTGTCACACCAGAAATACCATGTCTGATCAAAGCTTGCACTGAGTTCCGCTCTGCCTGCAAACTCACCTCACTGTCCCGGTCCACTTTCCAAACGTGGTGAATTTTCACTGGCCTGTAGCTGCATCCAGTCTCATCCACATACTTCTTTATCAACTGTAAGAAGAAAGAAGTTGGATGGAGTCGAGTGAGGGATGGTGCGGGACAGGGGTTGCTGACACTAGAAGAAATTCACCCTCGTTTTGCACCAGAAGGGCTCAGACATGGAGGCCGACAGAGATACCGGGAGGTGTCTCTGTGATTAACTGTGTGAATAGGAAAACTGCTGGCTAGCATTGCTCAACCGAGTGAAGAGACCAGGTCTAGGTGGTCTTCAAAACCACCCAATGCAGCTCTCAAGCAATACCTGCCAGCACTGAAGATAGTCTGTGAGAAAGCGCAGGCTTTTTCTAACCTCGCTCCCTTTCCCTCGGTGCCGAGGAGGGATGTGCAGGAAAGCCAAGGGATCTGAAAAGAACTCCCCACCCCATCAAGGATAGAAAGATTTGGGATAATACAGTGCGGAGCTGGAGGAACACAGCAGGCCAGGCAGCATCAGAGAAACAGGAAAGTTGACGTTTCAGACCCTTCTTCAGAATTCTTCCCCATTTCTGAAGAAGGGTCCTGACCCGAAACGTCAACTTTCCTGCTCCTCGGCCTGCTGTATTCCTCCAGCTCCACACTGTGTTATCTCTGACTCCAGCATCTGCAGTTCTTACTATCTCTAGAAAGATTTGGGTGAATCCATGTGAAATCCTGCTGGATCCGGGTTCTGGGACAGAAGAGGGACAGGACGTCCGGTTGTTCACTCTATAATGTCAAATCCTGTAGCACTGTAGTGAGAAACAATATTTGTGAAGTGAGGAATTAATTTCAGACAGCGGGTAGCAGTGTCAAACGCTCGCAAGACAGCCGTTGCAATCTGGAAAACAGACTGCAGTTTCAGCTTTAAAAGCTGAGGAATATTTCCCAAAGAGTGCGGTTGCATTGACTTCACTCTAAATGGTGCAGGGCGGGGAGACGAGAGCAGTCAGAGATGGGAATCTAAATTAAATATTTAATTGGACATGCTCAAGTTAAACCTTGGGCTTTGTCTCTTGCAATTATTGACACAATGAAATTTTATAAATTAGAACGAAACAGACATTTACACAGGTTCTTTCATAACCACTGAATGATTCAAAGACTTTACCAGCAATGAAGACCCTTTGAAGAGTTATCACTGTTGCAATGTAGGAAATGCAGCAGCTAATTTACACACAGCAAGATCCCAAAAACACCACTCTGATAAACTGCAGATCGTCTGTGTGATGTTGATCAGGAGATAAATATTGACAAGGAAAGCAAGGACAAATACCCTTGCTGTCTTTAAAATAATGCCAGTTCACTCTTTATAGGCATCCGGGAGGACAGACACTATCTCCGTTTATCTACAATTTGAAAACTCTTTAGATTCAGGGGAGGTTCTTTTAGATTGGAAAGTAGCTCATGTATCTCACTTATTCAAAAAGGGAGGGAGGCAGACAGCTGGAAACTACAGGCCAGAGAGCTTAACCTCTATCATAGGGAAAATGTTCGGAGCTACTTTTAAAATATTAGCATGGGTAGAAGATTGGCTTGTAAACAGGAAGCGGAGAATAGAAATGTGGGTCTTTTTTCAGGTTGGGAAGATGTGACGAGTGATCTGCCACAGGAAGCGGTGCTGAGCTGTCAACTCTTCAACTGAATTAGAGGATCGAAGGTAATGTAGCTAAAGTTGCTGGTGACATGAAGATAGGTAGGAAAGTAAGTTGCAGAGCAGACATAAGAAGCCTACAAATGGATATTGATAGGTTACATGAGAGGACAAAAATCTGGCAAATGAAGTAAAATGTAGGCAATTGTCCAGTTTTGCAGAAAGAATTTTTAAAAAGCCGCATATTATCTTAATGTTGAGAGGTTGCAGAGCTCCGAGATGCAGAGCGATCTGGGTGTTCTAGTGTATGAATCACAGAAGGTTAGTACTCACGTACAGCAAGTAATCAGGAAAGCTGATAGAATTTTATGGTTTATTATGAAGGGAATTGAATGCAAGAGTAGGAAGGTGGTGCTTCAGTTAGAGAGGGCATTGGTGAAAGCACATCTGAAGAACTGTGTAGGTCACTGCATTTATGTGGTGGAAGCAGTTCAGAGAGGATTTGCAAGATGAATACCTGAAATGAGCAGATTGAGCTAGGAGTAAAGGCTAGATAGACTAGGCCTGTGTCTTCTGGAGTTTAGAAAGAGTCAGAGGTGGGTTAATTGAAACATACAAGATCCTGTAGGGAGTTGACCAGATGAATGTTGAAAGGAGGTTTCCGTTTGTAGAAGAATCTAGAATTAGGGATTTAAAAATAAGGGTGCCCCCATTTAAAATTGAGATGAGATTTTTTTATGCAAAGAGGGTTGAGAGTCTTTAGAATACCCTTCCTCAAAAGGCAGTGAATGCAGGATCTTTCAATATTTTTAACGCAGAGGTAGATAGATTCTTGATGGCTTAAGGGGTGAAAGATGATCAGAAGGTACAGCTAAGATTAAAATCAGATCAGTCATGACCTTATTGAATAATGGAGCCAGCTTGGAGAGCTGAGCGGCCTACTCTTATTCCTTGTTTGTGAGTTTATATGACAATTCAGATGAAAGACAGCACCTTCTGACAGTAGAGTGATCCCTCAGTACAACACAGAAACGTCTGCCTTGATTTTTGTGCTTATGACCTAGAGATTGGAGGTGATTGTAACTTTAAAAGCTGTTATTCATAATAAAAAGTTGCAATATTGAGGTTTAAAAGGAGATAATCAATATTCTGCTGGTACTGGGCCTGTACTAATTCACAACAGTTCTGAGGATTTTGTTTCAAACCAAGAGACCATTTAATTTCAGGTGGTTAGAAAGAACTCAAACCATCTTGTAATTCACAGCTAGTCCAAAAACATTGTATTTTATAACACAACACAGTTTCTCAATGACTTGGATTTACTGTTTCTGTCCCTGCTCAAAAGAGACTGTTCAAGTATTTGCTGGAGGTAAAAGGAGGGATAGGGAATGAAGGGGAGGGGGTTGCGGCAGACAGGAAGGGAAAGGGTGAGGGGGCGGGATTGGGAGAAAATGAGGAGGCTGAGGGAAAGGGACATGGATTGGTGGGGGGAGGGGAGAGTGGGGTGAAGGGAAGGGGAAGTGGGGGGAAGGGAGGAGGGGTTGATCGAGACTGAGGTGTAGAGGCAGTGAGGGGACGGGGAGGGGAGGGGATGAGGCTGAAGGAGGGATGGGGAGGGGATGGGAGGGTAGAGGAGATAAAGAGGGCAAGTGAAAGGGAGGAGGGTGAGAGAAAGGAGGGGCTGAGGGGTTGGAGGGAGGGGTTGAGGAGTAGAGAGATTGGGTTGGGGGAAGGGTAGAGTAAAGGGAGGGTAAGGGGAGTTAAGGGAGAGAAGGGAAATGGTGCATTGAGGTGGGTTGAAGTGAGGTGAGGGGAGGCAGGGTGAGCAGAGGTAGGCTGAGGTCTCGAGGTTCCTTACTGCAGATGAGGTATGGAGTCAGGTAGGCAGAGTGCTGGGAAGGGGCTGTGCCGGAGGGAGACATGAGGGGGTTGTACTGGAGAGAAAGTGGGAGGTGATGGACCGGAGGGAATGTCCAGCCCTCGTTTTACCTGGAATTCTTCAGAATTGGGTGCCAACAATTGCAGGTCACACTTCAGCAGGTTATAATCTTCATCCAGAGGATGGGGAACCTCCTCGATAATTTCCGTCTTGATTTTCTGCTCTTTCTCAGCTTGAAGTCTCTGGGCGAGCTCAATATCAGCAAGTACCTAGCGATTCAGACAGATGTTTGCAGTTTAACTTAGAATCCCAATGGAGTCCTTGGAACTATACACTCTTTTCTTCAGCTTCCCCGGAGGGCATTCAGTCCCGCTACACGTGTGTGTGTGTGTGTGTGTGTGTGTGTGTGTGTGTGTGAGA